AGGGCTTTCTTGCTCTCTATAGTCACGTGGCTGGCAAGAATCGTCGCTTCCTCCCTGCCTTCAGCTTCCTTGAACCTTCATACTCACTTCTGTCTGAGCAACAGTGCTCATGAGGGTGCCTGCCAGTGCTGGCAGGCATGATGGTATGTGCTTCGATGCTTACAGATGCAGGCTGGGGAGTAAAATCCTCCCTCTAGTGGCTCAAGCTCATATGTTCTCTTGCCCCACAGAGATCCACATGTATGCAGGAGACACTCTGGAGCCATTTCGCAGGACTGAAATTCCACCGTGCACGCAGCTGATCCTACAGGAAGGCCATGCACACAGGGTGCCTCTAGCTGTGCCAGTGTACGTGACTGCCATCGTAAGGCCTGGTCTGTTCCCAGCCCTAGCTCTGTGTGCTTATCTCATCATGTTGCTATCGGAGGGGAAGGAACTGCCCAGCTTTCCTTAAAAACTACAGCTCCGCATTCTCCTCCTTCCCTGGCCTACTTGATGCCTTGTCAGGCTTTTTCTGGAAAAAGATGACGGGTTTGTGACAGGCTGATGACCTCTGTCACTAGATCTCTTCCTTTTTGGCTTTCCCAGCGGAGTGAGGCTATTATCAGACTTTAACATTTTCACAGCTAAAATGGAAGGTGGGGTATCACCACCTTTCTCCTAGTGAATTTGTCAGTGTTGGTGGCGTTCATGAGGTGGAATTCAGGGTGTAGTGTATACACCTGGTGCCACTGCCCATGGACACCACAGACACCAGCATGGCAAGGTGGCTCCCCAGCATCCTTCCCTATCACCCCAGCCACTGGAGAGGGAGAAATCTCACACTGGTGAGCAACTGCCAGAGACCCACCTTCCCACTTCCCCCACCCAAGGGAATCTTGGTGCCCGGTGACCCATCACAGGAGACATACCCTCATAGCAAGGTGTGGCTTCTCCACGAACGTGTCACCTCTTCTCTTTGTATATATGAACTATCACTTTCTTTGAACATCACTCTGGCTTGATCTTCTCTTTTACACAGAAGAGGTACTCCTGACTGTTTTATCAATTTGTGTGTACAACTGGTAATCTGTGTTCTGCATCAGTAGACTGAACCAATCTCTGATGGAAAATATTTGGGAAAAAAAGCATTTGTACTGAACACACAGGCTCCTTGTCATTATTTCCCAAGGAACAGGTAAGTAACCTAGAGATGATTCACAGCAAACAGGAGGGTGTAAGCAGGTTACACATACACACGATGCTATTTTATATATGGAGCTTGAGCACAGGTAGATTCTGCTATGTGCAGGGAGTCTTAGAACCAGTCCTGTCCTTATCAGATACTTAAAGATACTAGAACAAAAATAAAGTTAACAAAACCCTAGGTGCCCCGCAGTCTAAATAGCATTTCTCCCTTCCCACCTGTGGTAGTAGTCACACAAAAGAGCACTTACATGTGTAGCACGCAAAATGAGGCCACAGCTTACACTCCTAGGAGCTTTGTCTGTCTCAAAATGACCCATTTCTTGTGCCCGAACATCTTTTCCCGGAAGCACTGGCTAATATCAGGGGTACGTGCTTCCCCTTTGCAAAGAGCCTTCAAGTACCTGGGCTTTCTTGCCTCCAGCAAGTGAAATCCTCTAACCCTTGTCTAAGTCTCATTACCTAAGTCACACTGTTTAAGTCACGCCACCACACTGCTGGGAGGCACACAGACATGGAGGGGAACGGCTCTTTTAGTTAATCCTTTTACCACCATGACAGAGCCCCTGGATAGCACTAAACAAATGCTGTACAACTATATTAACACATTTAATCTACTTTGGGTAGGAGTCAAATTTCCTGTAATAAGTGGCTCCCATAAAGCATGAGAGCTGGAGAGAGAAGAGCTTTCTCCTCTGCACAAATCCTGCATGGGAGTGGGGGGCCTCCACAAACAGCTAAACGAGGAAGTCACTTTAAAAAGGGCCTTGATCACTAAGGCTCTTACAAGATCATTCTGATGCCCTTACTCCCTTGCTTACTTAGTGCAGGTGGAAGACGCTTGTATTCCAGCCTCCAAAGCAATGAAACACTCAAAAGGATAGCAGCAAGCGAAGAGGGAAAGGGGTCTGATTCTTTGGTCTTTAAGAACGAAACAATAGGGCTAGGAGTATCGCTCAGTGGTTCAGCACCTGCCTAGCATGCAAGAAGCCCTGAGTTTGATCCCTAGCACCATGAAAATAAAACCAAAATTAAAAAGTTGGGTATTCTGGGATGGACTTTTGCCAAGATGAGATGTGGTGTGTTGAAGATGTCTCTGGCCACTATACAGACTTAAATAACTATCAAGAAGAGTGTGGAAAGGTTTTTCCAGTTCTTTTCGAGAAAATGTATTTCAAGAACCCACTGTATTTCATATAATTTTTGACCCACTTCCAAACCTAGGCTGGAAC